TTTTCTTACCTCCCCCAGCCCTATTCCTTTTTTACCTCTGAACTCTTGGGGTGAGTTGGCACCAAGGCCCTCACCCGTCTGTCCTGAGCTGCTAATCAGTTGATCTGCAGTCTCACATTCTGCCTGTGCCCACTGTTAATCAAGGGAAGGATGAAAGGAAGAGAAGAGGAAGGTCTGATTGAGGCAGCCAAGAGATAATTAGAAGCTGATTATTGTACCATAATACAGCACAACAGCAATAAATAAATCAATCAGCTGGGGGTTGGGAGTGACTTTCCTATAATCAGCTATTAAAGGCTTGTACCCCTAATTAGTCTATTAATTAGAGCCACGCTCTCCCATCCACATGTTATCAGCCTGCCAAGGCAGAGAAAACCCAACCCAGGGGCCAGGAGATAAGGGAAATGAGAGAGACCAAGTAGCAGATTCAAATAGCTGGGCTTGTGTGTGTTTTAGCTCTCAGTGCCCAGGGCAAATTCACCTGCTAGTAGAAAAGAAACATTTATCAAAAACCAAAGGACTGTTGTCTTTGTTGAATAGAAAGGGGAAAGAATGATTTAATCTTTAAAGGGAAAAACCACCCTAACCACATGCGGGGATCTGTGAAGGGTAGTTCTGCCTGTGTGTTCCCTGGGGCTCCGCACACAGCGAGAAACAAACATGCCCATACTCAAGAAGCATCATCAGAAAGCCAGCAACAGAAGGACCCCGTACCTCTGCTCAGTGTGCTCATTTTAGGGAACAAACACTATGAAGTTCCTGCTATGTGCCACCTGCGTTCTTTGTGTCTGTAATGCCTCATTTGATGATTTCGTTGACAGTCTCGGAGTGCCCGCAAGTTATTTTGGGGAGTTTCCAAAAAGGAGCCTCATATGGCCTTCAAATTGTGGTCACCAGAGAATGTCTGTTCTGCTCCTCCTCGCCTGTTCTGAGCCTCCATGGGCCACATTGCCTTCCCACCAAGATCTCAGGAAAGTCTTCTGTCAGCATCATGCTGCCTGGGCCTGGAAACTCACAAGTCATTCTTGAACAGCTCCAACAAGCTCTGAGCCCCAAAGTGGCCTTCACATCCCTGGGAGAGGCACAGTGAGGAGCACTGTGCCCATCACACTGCCTTCCTTACTGTGCCAGCTCCTCTACTACCAACCCCACAACAGATACTCCAATATACTCAAATAAAGACAAGCAGACACAAGGCAGGGTGCTGGGGCAGGTATCTCCAGTAGCAGCCAGCCACCAACAGCACTGAGATGGCTTTGTACAATCCTCAGAGAAGGCCAACTAAAGGCAAAGAAGGGTTGTTATTGAAGTCACCCCACTAAGATGCAAGAGGGTCAACCCTACGGTCAGGCTCTTCCTACTCCATTCTTTCCTTCTAGGGTAGCTGTTGCGACTTAGTTCACTTTCCATACCAACCTAACACACATGCCAGATACGCTTTGCTGTGGAAAGCAATGACACGTGTGTCGCAGGTGTCTCCCTCTAGATCTCAGAACGCCTTTGTTCCAACACTGCCTCTTACTTGTGGATGGCAGGGAGAGGCAGTAATGAGGTGGTGGAAACTGCCTGGCCTTACAGCTCAGCACCAAGGCAACCAGCTAGGTGACCTTAGGCAAATTGCTTCCTATTGTTTCTCTTTGGTTCCCTCATATGCAAAATGGGAAATGTCAGCTGCCTACTTAAAATGTGACAGTGAGGATCAAATGAGACACACACACACAGAGCTTTAAAGTTACAAAATACTGCCAAACACATTGCTAGACACCTTTGAGTGGAGCCTGAGGATTTTTAACTCCAGTTTTCAAGAGGAAATTGAAGACTCAGGTTGAAGTTCACTTGAAAACACTCAGTAAAATTGTACTCAAAGCAGTGATCTGGCCCCATCACACCCAGCAGCATCACATATTTGCCCCAAAGCCTCTCATCTGGAATGTGTATCATTCTCAAAGCTTTTACTCATCTAATACAAACACACATGGCTCCTAGCTGGCACCAGGCATAGCACTGGGCACTGAAGACCCAACTGCAACGGTTTTACCAAGACAAGGAAAGCAGATGCCTCAGAAGTAAAGCACAGCATGTGGAACTAACATTACAGGAGAGAGAAAGAACAGGTGACAGGGTGATACAGGAGAGGGAAGGACCCAGGAGAGTGAGCAAGACACTGCCCATGCTAAGACCCAGCAGGGAGTGGGTAAAGGAGAGGGCCAAGGCAGGAGATCTAAGAGTCTGCCAAAGACTGCTCCTGTGCCAAGTAAGCCCAAGGATGGGCTTTGAATGACATTCTTAGTATGGTACGAGGTCACAAAGTGTTTTAATTAGGAAATGGTTGATAGTTTTGAAGATCCTCCTGGCTGGAAGGTATCGGAGTTCAAGCTGCTGTAATAGAATACCAGAGACTGTGGCTCAAACAATAAGCATTTATTTGTGTCACAGTGCTGGAGGTGAGGGAGTCCAAGATAGAGGTGCTGGGAGGCTTACTTTTGGTGGAGGTCTGCTTCCGGGTTGCAGTTAACCATCTCCTCATCTTCTTGTTTTGTTGCATGGCAGTGAAAGAAAGAACAAACTCTTATGTCACTTCTAGAGCACAAATTTCATTCAGGAGGGCTCTATCTTCTTGATTTAATTCCCTCCCAAAGCCCCCCAACTGCTGATACTAGCACCTGGTGCCTTGAACTGGAAAATTCAAATGTTAGAGGGCTAAAATATAGCAAATGTGATGACCAGCTCTGAGCCTGGTGAGGCAGGTAGGATGGACACAAATACACAACTTTGAGCAAGAACAGGTGGTTCTGAACTGGAAAGAGGAGAAGGGCTATCTCTAAACTGCCTTAGGATTTGGCAAGTAGAAGTGGATGCCACTAGGACATGTACAAGGAGCATGCGAAGACAGGCAATCAAGGCTGATACACTAGCTGCTTCTAACATTGCAACTGCTATGTGGTGGTGCCGATTGGGCTAACAGACACTAGTGCTAGAATACCTGACATGCAGCAAATGCATCCTGTCTGAATTTGCATGCCAGCTTCATGCATGACCTCTAAATTGGGGCTGAGCTTTGCCCAGAGAAAAAGGAATTGATGAGAAGATCTTGTCAACTAGAGGGTCCTGTTCTCCAGGCACCCGGGTGCGTGCATCGGTGTTGGAACATCAGGGGATGAGACAGAGGCCCCTGTCTCTGGGAACCAGGGTATTCATCTCCCTGGCCCTCCTGCTCCCCTCAACCTAACTTCTTATGAACTCTTTGTCAAAGGTGGACAGTGCAAGGCTCTTAATTTACAGAGGGGAAAATTGATCTTAAAAGAGTTTACAACAACCACCCCAAAGCTACAGGCGCATGTATATGAAACAGCTACACAAGGCATGAAGTACATGCTTCCAGTAAAACGAGGTCATCAATGGTACTTCTGAATGGGAACATCAGGGAGGTAGAGGATTTTGCGTTGGTCTTCGGGGCAGGTGGGGTTTCTATAGGCGGGAATGTAGGATTGTGGTCGGGTGGTGAAGATATTCAAGAAGGAAATGGCAGGGACTAAGAGGCAGCAGTCTCCTTCGGTCTGAGGGAAACTGCAGAGAGTGAGTTCCTGTTCCTAAAGCAAGGCTCACTGAGCTTCGAAAAGGTTCAGAAATTCCTTACATACTACACAGATGTGAGTCTCTGTAGGCATGCACACATTTTTCTGAAAAGTGTCCACAGCTCTCCATCAATTCCCGAACTGGTCTAGATCCGAGAAAAGGATGAATGACCACATTCTAAATTTAGAATTTGCAGGTAGGTTGTGTTGTGGTTTAGGAAGCAGGTGAAACGGTGGTGTCCTGGGATCTGCACACATGAGGCCTGGCAACACCAGTCTCAGAGAGAGCGTCTGTCCTTTCCCCACACCGACGTCCCTGCACCTATATCTTAGAACAGGGGTCACCTGGAGACAAATCTGGAGACACAAGGTCAGAGCTCGGCGCAGGGACTACTGTGACGCTCCAAAGCTCTGGAGACTCGATCGGAAGTAGGAGTGTCGAGCTGTTCCGTGCCAAGGCCAGAGACCCTCGGAGGCGGGAACCTGGAACTAAAGAAGCTGTGGCCACATCCTGGGAATTTAAAAGTCCGCCAGCCTGACTGCGGCTGCGGGTTCCCTGACGCGAGCAGCGGTGTGCATCGCGGCCGCTGGGTGGCGCAGCGCGGGACGCCGGCGTGGGAAGCGCGGCCGCGCGGGGGCTGAGCTCACGCGCCCCGAGCGGCAGGGCTGGGCGGGCGGCCGCAGCGGATGCGCATCTCCCTCATGGCACGGCGGGTCCGGGGATGACGAGCGGGGTGGCGCAGCGCCCCGGCAGGAAGGCAGCCGCCGAGGTGAGAGCAGGGCCCTAGCCGATGGCAGTGGGCGGCGCGGGGGCTCCCGGAGCGTGGTCGGGGTCTCGGCCGCGCCCACCCCCGCTGCAACGCAGCCTCGGGCGCAGCTGCGTCCGCCAGGGGGTTGGGGCGCATCGCGGCCTGCGGCGGCCGGGGTGCGTCCTAGGAGGGCCACTACGCGGGGAGTTGGCGATGGGGAGTCGGCGGCGGACCCCGGGCTCTCGGGAGCCGCGGCGCCCCCCATCTGGCGCCCGGCGGCTCCGCAGTGGGCGTGGTGCCCGGCGCCGCAGAGGGCGCGGAGTCTAGGTGGCTGCGGAGACAGGTGGTTGGGGGCGCAGGGCAGTGCGCCAGAATCAGGGTGTCCGTGCGCCTTCCTCTCTGTGCGTCTATGGGGGATGCGGAGGTGGAAGGAAGAGGGGAGGCAGGGAGGCCGGAGAGCGGCAAGTGCCCCGGGAGATCCCCCTGGGCTTGGTTACGTATCCCGCACGCCCAGAATCAATAAAGTGGGTGCGGTGGTGCTTGTGGAAGTTTGATGGGAATCTGGTCCCGAACTGCCCCACACTGGCTGCCTGGCCCCGCGTGCGCGATCAGGCACCTCGGGCTCCGAGCCCTGTGCCAGGCTGGGGCGGGGTCGGGGTGGGGGATGGAGGCTCACCGCTGCGGAAGCTCTGGCAACTGAGGCACCTTCGTGGTCGGGGGCTGCGCACTAAGTTCACGGAGCGGGGGGCGGGGTGGTGAGTGGGCCTGGATACTGCAGGAGGTGGGGCTGCTGGGAAATACGGCAGTCTCCTTAGAACCTTTTCCTTCCAGCTTTGTTCGCAACCCTAGATAAGAATTTAGGATTTGGTATTTGCGAAATGCCCTTATTGCTGTTTTTTTCTTTCCCTTTCGGTTTGTTTTGTTTTTTAGAGGAACAGCAAATGACAGAGCAGAGGGACAGCGGGCCCAGCCAATCCTAGAGCGGCTGCAACACTTGTTCCCCAGACAGACGCATTCTGGTAGGAGGATAGAGGAGGGGGCGCTGGCCATCGCCCTTACCCTGCCCAGGACCCCTGCCACCCCCGCGGGAGAGCAGCCGAGTGGTGGTGGTGCCGGCACCCCTCCCTCTGCCCAGTGCGGGAAGAAGAATGCAGAGCCAAGGAAAAACCCTCAGTGTCCTCTGGGGTGGACAGAGCAGGTACAGACAGGGTTGGGGCAGCTGGGCCTGACACATTTTCGGTGCTGGTGACAAGAGGGCTGTACTTCCTGCCACTCGGGTTCGTTTCCACCACTGGCCTGTCCCTGGCACTCACTGTGTCTCTGTGCTTATTGGTGCCACCATGTTATATAACGCTTATATAACCTCCCGGGGCGAGGGCGCTGTCTCTTCTCGGGTTGAGCAGATACTGTGTCCATGTGGGAGGCAGGGTCTGCGGGGGCCTGAGGGCCTCCCTCATGCAGTCTGGCTCCTGGTCCTGATGCCTGGCATCGGCAGGGGGCTGGGAGGATCCAGGCCCATTCCATACCAGCTGTCTGGAGCTGAGAAAGGGTTGACTAGGATCTCTCTGCCTGCTTATGCCTTTGTTTCCCCCATCCAGCCCATGTGGTACAGTGAATGCCATTCTTGTCTTTTGAGGCCAGTTGTTGACGTGGCATGTGGGCGTGGTGAGACGACCCCGGGGTAGGGCATTAGAAGAACACATGGTACAAATATCTGGGTAAAGGGAGAGAAATAAGCCTGGCCCTTGGCATTTGGGCAACAGAGTCTAGAACCACGGTGGTCCCATTATAAGAAATTTGGAGCCGTTCTGGGGGCTGCGGAGTGGTCAGGGAAGGGTGCGCAGGGAAGTGGATCAGACAGCAAAGATAAACATGGTGTTCTTTTACTGTACTCTCCACTGGGCTGTCCCTGGTTGCCAGGGCAACAGAAGCAGTGATGAAAATCATGCCTTTCGTTTAGTGGAAAAATCTGGCTCCTCCTCCCACCTCTTCCTTCTCCGATCGCCTGAGATCCATTGGGAGGATGGTCTTTCCAGTGATCAGAGACCCCATGTATCCCTTTTATGCCCCCCTCTTTGTTGGGTTTTTATCACCTTCTCCTTTCCAGCATCCCTGTATCCCCCCAGAGCTCAGCAGTCAGCAGTTGCGTAGGAGTTGGAGTAGATGGGGGGGCAGGTTGTGGACGTCATCACAGGGCAGGGTGAGCTGAGCGTGGGCAGAGATGTGGATGCAGGAATGACTGGCGCATGGGGAGGGCCAGGAATGGATGGGCTTGCAGAGCGAAGAGCTTGTTTCTGGGGTAGTGGGAGCCCGGGGTAGGAAGGGTAGATGAGATGGTGGAGGCCTACAGAGCTCAAGAGTTTGGACTTCGAGCTGTAGGAACAAGGAAGACAGGGGTTTCTTGGTTCATTGTGCCTTATGGTGAAAGCTAGGATTCGTTCATTCAGGGTTTGGCAGAGTGCGCTGGTGAGGGCCTGGCAGCTGGGAAGCCAGAAGAGGATCACACTGGACCTTGGTCTGGAGGACGTGGCGGTGGGTGGAAGGGAGATGGGCGTATGGAGGAAGATCTGGTGTTGCTGCAAGCCTGGAATCTGGGGTTTCAAGCAGAACTAGCAACGTGTCAGACTGGAAGCGAGGGTTAGGGTGGAGCCTGTGAGTGTGGAGAGAAAGAGGGATGTGTAGTTCAGAGAGGCCTTGAGGTGAGTGGAACAGAACATGGGGAAGAGAAGTGCTGGAACTGTGAGCCTCTGTGATTGATGGCAGTAGAAGCAGTATCTAGACTGGCCTGGGGAACTCGTGTCTGATTCACTTTTAGGTGTGCTACCTTCAAGATGGTGGCAAGGTATCTGGATGAAAATGTTTATGACAGGCAGATAATGTTTGTAGTAGAAGTCAGTTCGGGGAAGTGATCTGGAAGATTCTGGATCATGCGGCTGAAAATTACATGGTGATTAAGGTGACAAGCAGATATATCTCAGGGTATAGGACTGCATGCCTTCTATTTGTTTATTATCCCAGGGCCTACCAGACTCCTGGACTAGTTCTGTCAGCTATCCACATGTTCTGTCAATCTGTATGTTTTCTTGAAATTTGAATTTTGAGGTTATGTTTTTTTCTGTCTGATAACTGTGCTCCGATAGCATTGGTAAAATAGATGCATGTTTGTCTGTTTGCTTCTTGACCTTTGCCACAGTGTTCACGTACAGCCCAGGAAGTGCTGTGGAGAGGACTGCAGGTCTGTGATCTCCCCTGCTGTGCTGCTCATCATGTCTCCTTCCCTTTGGGAGTAGGAGCACCGCAAAGTCAGGGGTCCTTCGGTGACTGTGTGATCTTGGGCATACTACTCTAAAGGCTTCTTACAGTCTGAAGTCCTCAGATTTGGTATCTGTAACTTTATCTACCTTTGTCCAGGATTTTGACCCTGGCCTGGCTTTTGGAAGAAGCAGCGTGGCCTTCTTTAGTTGCTTGTAAGGGGAAGTAGCAGGGATTGTGCGCTGTGTCACAAAAAATAGGCCCAGTCTCTGGAGTGGATGAGTCTTCCCCGTACAGCCTCTGTTCCTTTTTGGAGCATGAAAACAATACAAGAGTGAACTTTACAGTGACCAGAATTTGGCAAACTGTGGCCCATGGCCAGATGCCTGTTTTAAATTTTTAAAAAAATTTTTTGGTGATTTTTATTTTAAAGAGAATAAAACCAAGCAAAATAAAACACAATAAAGCCAGTCAAAACAAAACAGTGTAAGTGATACAGGAGTTTGAAACAAGATAATAGAAAATCAACAATGGTTACCATAATGCCTCTTGCTGTCTTCAAAATAGCTGCCCATAAATTCAGAAAAGTAAAAATCAAACAAAACAGAAAAAATAGAACCAAAAAAACAATGAACACAATAAAGGACTTCCAAACAAGGTATTAGTAAATCTAAAATGGCTACCATAATATGTGTTGTTATCTTTGAACTAATTTCCCATGCTATTGAATATAATAAAATCAAACAAGACAAAACGGATTAAAACCCAACCCAGCAAAACAATGGAAACGATACAGGACTTCAAAACAAGATGGTAGGCAGTTAACAATGGCTACCACCTTCAGAAGTAGCTCCCCCATTGATGCTACACTGTGTATTGTTATCCTCTGAATAGAAAATCACACTACCAGCTTTAGGCAAAGTCAGTGAAACACTAAACACTACAAGCATTAAGTTGTACTGTACTTCATTAGCTATCATTGCAGCCTGTGTTTCTCTGGATCAGCTGGTCGCTTACAGGGGGAAAAGGTGGGGGCAACCTTGCCTCTTCCTGTCTCCCAGCCGGTGTGTCGAAAGGGGCTGGCATCTGGGTCTTTCCACAGTGGCCTGCACATGGTGCCAAATCGCAGGGAAGGCTTGTCTTCTTGCTGTCTTTTTGTTGTTCTCCCCGAGAGAATCTCTGAATGGTGCTGACTCACAGTAAAAGGCTGACATCTGGTTTTCTCCACAGCTGCCCATGCATAGTGTTGACTCACAGGGAGGGCTTGGCTTCTTGTTGGCTTCTTGTTCTCCTTTCCTGCAGTCTGCAAATGGCACTGACTCACGGGAAAAGGCTGGCATCTTGATGCCTGTTTTTTAAATAAAGCTTTATTGGAACCTAGACATGTCCACTGTTTACGTATTGTGCGTGGCTGGTTTCATGCTACAGTGGTATGATTGAGTAGTTGGAACAGAGGTTGTGTAACCTATAAGTTTAAATAATTTACCATTTTGCTCATTAGGGTATAAAAGATGCTGCGGGTGGTGGCTCATGCTTAGAATTTCAACACTGGCAGGCTAGGCAAGAGAACTGCAAATTCAAGCCTATCCTAGGCAACTTAGTGATTTAAGAGAGACTGTGTCTCAAAATAAAAATAAATAAATACATGAGGAAGGGTAGGGATGTAGCTCAGTGTGAAGGCCCTGGGTTCAAGCTCCAGCACCATATAGATACACAGACACACACACACATGCACACACACAAATATAAAAGTTGCCCATGACTTCCACAGGCCAGAGAATGACTTGGATTTCTGTGGGGGACACTTCCTGTGACTGTGTCAGAACTCTGGCTTTCTTGGTGATTCTGCACTTGCCTGCCTTTGTGATCCCATGAGGGGATAAGTGGGCATTTGAAATAGTGGATTATTAGCCTCAAAAATAGTAATTCTGTATTTGAGAAAATCCTTTCATTTTCGGCCCTTTTCCTGGAGGTAGGAGGGGTCCCATCCTGTGTCAAGGCCAGGAGCTCTGAGTTGCAGAGCCTCTGTAGGTTGCAGTTGTGGTCTGACATGCTGCCCTCCCTATGCCCCTGATTTCCCACCCTTGTGGAGGAGAGGCCAAACAGACCCAAACCCAGCCACAGGGCAGGAGCAGGCTGTGCCAATCCTGCAGTGTATTCCTCTCCACTATCTGTTTTGTCACTTGTGACCTCACTGCCGCCTTGAGTGCCAAGGCATTGAGGATGCCACTACAGAGATTGCCTGTAGCCCAGCCTGGTGTGTCTTCCTGCAGTCAGGTCTCAACTGTGCTACCAGACCTGGTTTGAGCCTCTGCCAGCTTGATGCTAGAGTCTATGTTCCTCCTGGCATCATTAGCCCATCTCTGTGGGCACCTAGAACCCCTTGTGGGACTGATCCTTGTGCTGTTTCCTTGGCAGAATGGCTGGCTGGTATCTGGGCTGGTATGAAGTTCTTACCTCTGCAAAACAAGGGTAATGCAGCAGTCAGGCTGCTCTGTGCAGGCCTGAGATAGGAAGTGAAAGACGTCAGTGGCAAGAGGAAGCCACGTGTTCAGAGCAGCAGGGGGACAGGCGTGGACTGAGGTTTATCCCCACTGCAGCTGGAAGGGTGCAGGGAGGAGGCTGGCTGTGGGAGGAGGAGGGACCAGACGGTCCAGAATAGCAAAG